GGCTGCAGCTCCCAGCTCTGCCTGGGACACTCCTGCACTGAGGGGAGCAGTTCCTTCAGCACTTCCAGAATTTGGGAGCAGCAGGAAATGCCACTGGCACCTGGAATGGTCTCTGCAGCACCAACCCACTGCTCTCACTGAGACACAAACTGGGCAAAGCCAACAGCTTCACCCCAAAACTCACAACCCACACATCCTCCCGTGGCAGGGGCTGGGATGGGATGGGATGGTTTGGAAGGTCACTCCCAACCCAAACCATCCCAAACTCCAATCTGAGCTCCAGGCTGAGCTCAGAGCTGTAACTGAAGTTACTGAAGCTCCAGGGGGAGAAAAGGCAGCTCAGAGCAACCCTCATTAATAAATACCACGTGGAAGCCCAAATTCCCAGATTTCCCTGGGCTGTAGCTGTGTCCCCAGTACTCACATCATCTGTGATGCACAGGTAGATGATCCTGTCCTGGCAGATGTAATGGAACAGGTAACTGCAGGGATTGAAAGGAAGAAACAAAACATCATTGGGAGCTGCCACTTTTCCAGAATTTCATTTTTTCCAGAAGCCACCGCTGCCTTTGGGGGCTGGCAAGAGAAAATCCCAGTTATTCTAGGGAGCTGGCACAGGTAAATATGTCCCAGGGAAATCTCCAGGGAAGTGAGGCTGAGGCACAGCTCTCTGCTCCCATAAAAAAAATTCAAAAATCCTTGCACATCCACAACTCTCCTGGAAGGAGTGAGGTGAAACTTGTCTGGCACCACCCTCAGAGAGTCCAAGAAGGATCCCAGCAGCAGAGAGAGAGAAACCCAAGAATTCCTCATTTTCCTTGGAGATTTATGCAGGAGACACAGAAGTTCTTCAAAAACAAAAATAACTCATTAAAAGAATTTCAGGAGTTCAAAATTTAAAGAAACTCAAGTATTTCCTGTTTCAGAATGGGAGAAACCATCTTGGACAGAATCCAGGGAGTTTAGGTTGGGAGGCACAGGATCCCTGGGAGGAACTGGACAGGAGGAACAATTCCAAGTGCTCATGGAGCTTCAGAGCTCCCACATCCTGCCCAGCTACCTCCAAAAATGCACCACAGCACCCCTCAAACTTTTCAGGTGGTTGAGCAGCACTCAAGAAATTCCTTTCACTTAAAGGATTAACTTAAAATATTAAAATTTATCCTTAAAATTCCAGCAGGAGGGAAGAGCTGCAGCACCCGAGGTGTGTCAGACTCCAGAGCAGGCACTGGAGGATTTGGGAAGCCCAGCCCAGTTCTCATCTCCTGCATCCTCAGAGCAGCTCTGACACACAGCCTGGGCACCAGAGAGGACCCAGCCATGCTGCCAATTCCCAAAAAAGAGCTGGAATGGGCTCCAACACCTCTAAATTTGGGATTCCCATGGTTGTTTTAGTTTGTTCCCACTGCACTTCCCACGTGCAGGTGATGAAGCTTCAGCTCCCTGCTCTACCAACACTGACCAAGGGCTTTTCAGAGGGCTGGAAAAATCCTGGGAAAATGCTCTGTGTGTCCTGCAGACTGCATTTGGGGCAGCCCAGGATGACTCCACGTGAGCACAGCTTGTCTCAAAGCCCCACAGGCAGCCCAAGAAGGGTGACAGTTTTACCTAAAAAGGTTCAAGCCCCAAAAAAAACCCAGGGGAAGCTTCCAGAAGCCAAACTCCAAAGATTCCACAGTTGGAAGGAACCCTCCAGCTCACTTTGGAATTGTATAAAAATGGAAAACCTGATTTTGTGTCAGCTGCCTTGTGCTGCTGCTGGAGCTGAACTCAAACCCTGGGTGTGCTGCAAAGTTCTGGGGGACAGCAGGAGCTGCTGAGCTCCATCAAACAGGAATTTGGATGGAAAAAAAATACAGAATCACAAAAAAAACCCCTAAAACTCCCAGCTCCTTCCTGTCCTCATGCATGCCCACAATTCCCCCCAGAGCCCAGGAGAGGGGTTACTCACCTGCCATGGGAATAGGTGAGTTTGTTGTTCTCAGATGGGATTTTGGCCAGGATCTGCTCAGTCACCTCCAGGAAGTTCCCTCCACACCAGGCATGCTTGGCCAGGATGGTGGTGCCCCTCGCCACCACAGCAAACAGGATGGCCATGGCTGCTCCCCTGCTTGGGGACACAACAGGGGGGACATCAGCAGCTGGCACAGGGACCAGGACACAGCCAGGACACCACACCACAAAGTTCTCTCACTTCCCCTTCGAGGTTCTGCCCCCAGCAACACAAAACCCAACATTAAAAAAGGGCTTTTATCACCCCTGTGCCCTGTGAGGGTGGCAAAGCTGAGCCCAGGGCAGCTGTGGCTGTCCCTGAATCCCTGGAAGTGTCCAAGGTGAGGCTTGGAGCCACCTGGGACAGCAGAAGGTGACAGGAGTTGGAACTGGATGAGCTTTAAGCTCCCTTCCAACCCAAACCCCTGTGGGATTCCCCAAGTCTCCAGGGCTGGAAAACCATCCCTGCTGCCACAGAAAGGGACACTCTCAATCAGCTCAAGTATCAGCACATTAATGTGGGGCCTGAGCCAGATCTGGCACATGGCAGAGCCCAGCTGGGACAGCTGCCCTGCTCATCCTGCCATCCCTAAGCCTCTTTTCTGCTTAGGAAGGGCTTAGGAGCCTGCAAAACCCCAAAATCTCATTTTTCACTTTGCATTTAGGCCCTGCTTATTACCTGCTCTGTTCTGTGCCTAGGCAGATGTGGCAAGATCCCAGACCTATCCCAAATCCCCCAGGAGAACTCTCTGGGAGCAGCCACAGAGCAGGAGTGGGTGCTGAGCTGCTGGATCCAGATTTTCCACCCCCCTGATGATTTAGGGATCTCTCCTGGATTAACAAGGCTGCGAAAGGAGATCCAAGCACCACCCCAGCAGGGCTCTCCTGGCCAGGCTGAGCTCCACAGATCCAGGCCTGGCCAGCACTGGCCACATCTCCAAACCTCCCACAGGTCTGAGCCCAGCATGGGAGGGAGGAAGGATAAAGTCATGGATTTATTCACAGGACAGACTCCACACAACCACCTGGGAGCAGTGCCAAGGGGACAGAACGGTGGAATGGCTGGGGTTGGAAGGGACATCAAGACCATTCCCGTGGCAGGGACACTTCCCACTGTCCCAGGCTGCTCCAAACCCCATCCAAGATGGCCTTGGACACTTCCAGGGATCCAGGGGCAGCCACAGCTGCTCTGCCCTTCCCTCTGCTGTGAGCAGCATTCAATGTGACTTAGACAAGGCTGAATTTTCTTTCATGCTCAGAAATTTGTTGGGTCTGGTTTGGCTGCTCTTCCAATGGAGCTGCTGGCTCCTGCAGGAAGCTTCCAAGGAATTGCTTATTCCTTTAAGTTTCAGCTCTGAGTAATCTCCACTTTGGCTCATTTTCAGGTTGCAATGCTCCTGTCTTAAATGCACTGTGAGCTAACTAAGCCCAGGGAACTCACTGCACCCTCCTGTCCCTCCAGAGCCAATGGGCACAAAGGCTGTGGCCAGCCCAGGGCTGCCCCAGGCCTGTGGAGCAACAGCTGGGCTCAGCCTGGAATCACAGCCACCCCTAAACCTGGAACCACAGCCACCCCTAAACCTGGAACCACAGCCACCCCTAAACCTGGAACCACAGCTACCCCTAAACCTGGAATCACAGCCACCTTAAACTTGGAATCACAGCCACCCCTAAAGCTGGAACCACAGCCACCCCTAAACCTGGAACCACAGCCACCCTAAACCTGGAACCACAGCCACCCTAAACCTGGAACCACAGCCACCCCTAAACCTGGAACCACAGCCATCCTCTGGAGCAATCAGGGGAGTGTCCAGCACCAGGAATCCACTGTCTGCTCCTGCAGCCACCCAGGAGCCAGAGAAAGGAGCAGCAAACACATCCCTGTCCTGCAGGAATTCAGGGCACAGAGCCCACAGACACCTCAGTCCCCTGAGCAGAACAAATGCAGCCCCAAAGTGAGGAGTGTGAAGTGGTTTAGACAATTCCTGCACATTTCTCTCCATTTAACATCGGGTACTGGTGGAACTCCCAGCCCTGAGGTGACACCAGGGCAGCAGCAGTGTGCTCAATTCCATTCCCTGAGCTCATGGCTCTCACCTGCCAGGATTCACAGTCCTCATCTCCCCAAATCCAGCCCAAAACTCCCTGAGTTCACAGCCCTGACTCCCCAGATCCCTGGCTCTTGCAGTACTCAGGGTACAGGAGCCTGTGCTCAGCCCCAGCTTTGAGCAGAAGGGGTTAAATGAAATAAAAGAGATTAACAAGGAACATTTTCCTCCCTGAGCAGCCCCGTACCAGCTACTCCTGGTAGTAACACAAATCTGTTAAACTGCTCCACAACGTCCCCCCTCAGCCCTTACAGGAATGAAATCCCTTTAAATCAACCCTTCCTGCAGAGCTTTCTTCTACCTAAACTTACAATATCTCACAGCTGGAAGCAGCCACGATCAAACCTTCCAGAAAGACACTGCAGGATGCACGAGCTGCTGGAGGATGCTACAAACACAGCAGGGTTTGGGTTAGAGGGACCTCAAAGCTCACCCAGTGCCACCCCTGCCATGGCAGGGACACCTCCCACTGTCCCAGGCTGCTCCCAGTCCTGTCCAACCTGGCCTTGGACATTTCCAGGAGCATCCACAGCTTCTCTGGGCCCCCTGTGCCAGGGCCTGCCCATCCTCACAGGGAGGAATTCCTTCCCAATACCAGGGCATGGAAAAAAGGCACAGAAAAAGCTTCTTCAGGAAAATCAAAAACACAGGCTCAGCATGATGTTTCAAAGGATGATTTCCTGGCCCAGAAGATTCCCAGCTCAGTGCCAGTGAGCCATGGAAATGCCTGCACTTCCAGAAATCCTCTTACAGAAAGCAAAGGGCACCACGCTGCTTTTTAAGCACAGAACAAGGGGAGGTGTTGCAACCCAGCCAGTTGCAAAGTGCTGCAATAAAGAGATCGTTTGAGGAGGGTGAGCTCAGCAGAAAGCAGCCCTGGCTTCCCTTTAACCTCTGCTGGGCAGCTGGAAAAATCTTTATTTCATTACAGAATATTCCACGCTGAAGCCCTGGGGCTCTCCTGTTCATTTTGAGCCTGAGAATTGTGACATTTGTGCTCCAACTTATCCCAAGGTCAGCTTCCCTTCTGCACACAATTTACTCCAGGTTCTCCCACTGCATCACTAGGGAAACAAATCAACAAAGAAATTAATTCCCGTGCTCCTCCAGCCCCATCACCTTTCCTGGAAGCAGCACTGCAGGGTTTGGAATGGGGTAAGGACACACGACAGGATCATGACTGAGTAAGGGAACACGAGCATCCCAAAGCACAGAATCAGGGAATTGTTCAGGTTGGAAAAGCCCCACAAGACCACCGAGTTCAACCATTCCCCAGCACTGCCAAGGCCACCCCAACCCGTGTCCCCAAGTGCCACATCCACAGGGCTTTTAAATCCCTCCAGGAATGGGCACTCCATGGGCTGGACGTTCCTGTCCAGGTCAGAATGTTCCCAATCTCCCCCAAACCTCCCTGGCACAGCCACATCCTTCCCTGGGAGCAGAGCCTGACCCCCTCCAGCCTCCCCACACCCCCTACCCTAATTAGTTAATTAACTAATTAAACCATGCAGTGCTACGTTTGTGACACCATCCACTGCCACACACACCAGTAACACCTCAATAACACGGCAGCAATACATGGGTAACACCCCAGTAACACAGCACTAACACACTAATAATACCCCAGTAACACCCCCGGGGACACACTAAAAACATCCCAGTAATGTGGCAATAACACCCCCAGTAACAGACCAGTAAGACTCCAGTAACATCCCAATAACGCCACTAACACCCCCAGTAACACACCAGGAACACAGCGATACAACACTCCAGTAACACATCAATAACATCCCAGTGACAACCCAGTTACATGGCAATAACACCCCAGTAACACAGCGATATAACACACCAGTAACATGGAAATAACACCCCAGTAACACATCAATAACATCTCAGTAACACCCCAGTAATATGGCAATAACAGCCCAGTAACACAGTGATATAACGCACCAGTAACAGCCCAGTAACACAGCAATAGCAGCTCAGTAAAACAGCAACAACACACCAGTAACAGCCCAGTAACACAAAAATAACAGGCCAATAACACAGCGATATAACCCCAGTAGCATCCCAGTAACACACGAACAACACCCCAGTAACACGCCGATAACAGCCCAGTAAAGGGCCAGCAGCACTCCCGTAACACGGCAACATCACCCCGGTACCCCCGCTGCCTGTCCCGGTCCCCATTCCCGGTATCCCCGGTCACCCCGAGCCTGTCCCGGTCCCCATTCCCGGTATCCCCGGTCACCCCGAGCCTGTCCCCGTTCCCGAGCGCGGCCTCCTCCCGCCGGCAGCGCCCTTGGCCGGCGGGGCTGGGGCCGTGCCCGGAGCTGTGCCCGGCCGGATCCCCACACCCGAACCCCCCCGGGCCGGCCCTCCCGAACCCCCCCCGAGCCCCCCGGGCCGAGCCCCCCGCGCTCACCGGCGCTCCGGGCCCCGCCGGCCCCGCTCGGCCCCGCCCGGCCCGGCCCGGCCCCGACGCGTTTCCGGCCGCGGGGCCGCCGGGAGAGCGGAACGGCGGCACCGGAACCGCCATGGCCGGCACCGGCACCGGGCCCGCGCTGGAAACCGTGAGGGCACCGGGAGATGGGATCGGGGAAAGGATCGGGGAAGGGAAGGGAAGGGAAGGGAGCGGGGAAGAGATCGGGGTCGGGGAAGGGATGGGGATTGGGATTGGGGAAAGGATCGGGGAAGGGAAAGTCGGGGAAAGGATTGGGATCGGGGAAGGGATCGGGATCGGGATGGGGCTCGCTCGGGGTTGGGGAAGGAATCGAGATTGGGGTCGGGATCGGGATCAAGATCGGGATCGGGGTTGGGGTCGGCTAAAGCACCGGGATCAGGGTCGGGATCGGGACCGGGATCAAGATCGGGATCGGGATTGGGGTCGGGGAAAGGATTGGCATTGGGATCCGGATCGGGATCGGGGGTTCCCTCTCGCTCCCTTACAGGATGTGGAGCAGCGTGCCGGGCTCTGCTCCCGAGAAAAGCAGCCCCACGTTGTGCCAGGGGAGGGTTAGTTGGGATATCAGGGAAAAATTCCTTCATTTTTGCGCTCCCGGGGCAGGGGTGCAGTGCCCGTCCCTGGAGGGGTTTAAAAGCCCTGTGGATGTGGCACTTGGGGACACTCGGGGTGGCCTCGGCAGTGCAGGATGCTCGGAGGGCTTGGAGGGCTTTTCCAGCCTAAATGATCCCGTGCTTCCATGATCCTGTGATTCCCAAGCCTGGTTTAGTGCTAGGGCACCCTGACGAGTGGTGGGGTGGCATCAGGACAAATGGTGTCAGGATGGCTCCAAGGGACACCCTGGCATCCTGTGCTGGAGGTCAGGACTAACCTGTGTTAAAGCTGGGATTTAGATCTGGGAGCTTTCCCTCCTCTCTGAAGGTGTTGTGGTCCCACAGCAGCACCAGAGGTGCCCAGTGAGATCCACAACCCTGGCAGTCCCTGAGCTCAGGGGGGTCACAGCTGCTCTCCTCCCCCTGGGGACAGATCCAGGCCGATGGGACAGATGGGGACTGTGTCACCTTCGTGCTGCACGACGAGGATCACACCCTGGGCAACTCCCTGCGCTACATGGTCATGAAGAAGTGAGTGTGGCCTCTGAGGAACCCTTCTGCCCTGCTCTGGCCTCCTCCTTCCTCATCCACAGTCAGCTGTGGCTGGGATGAGGCAGAACCATCCCGAATTCCCTCTGTGCACAGCCCTGCTCCCACCTGCTGCTCCTCCTTTTCCTTGTGCTGAGAGCACCAGCAGCCCTTAAAGGGCCTGAGCAGCCTCTCCTGAGCCTCCCCCTCAGCCTCCCCTGCCCAGGAGCCCAAGTTAAGCTCGGCCCAGGGCTTTCAGTCCCTCCCGAGCTGCTGGAGGAGTAACTGGGTTCTGGACTCTCCAGAGAAGCTGTGGATTCCCCATCCCTGGAACTGTCCCAGGCCAGGCTGGATGGGGTTTGGAGCAGCCTGGGATAGTGGGAGGTGTCCCTGCCATGGCAGGGGTGGCACTGGATGGACTTTAAGGTAAATCACCGTGACAACACCAAAAAATCTGGGGGCCAAAGCTCCAGCACTCGGCTCAGCTGGAGGGAGAGGCCCTGCAACATTTTGGGAACTCCTGCAGTGCCCTGGAGCACTCAGCCTGAGCAGCAGCAGGTTTGGCTGCAGGGAGAATTCCAAGCATGCAGGATGCTGTGTTTGGATGTGCAGAGCTGGCACTGCCCTGGCTGTGTCCCTGCAGAGCTCCAGCTCAGCTCAGGGAGAGATGGCTGTGAGGGAACAGGGTCACACGGGGGGGTTCCCCTCAGCACATCCCTCCCCTGAGATTCCAGAAACATCCAGAGCCCCGGCAGGCCAGGGCTGCCCTGAGCCTCTGCCTTCCCTGGGATTTGCTGTGGATTCCCTGGGTTTCACTGCTCCCTCTCCTCTCTGCCCTCCTGCAGCCCTGACGTGGAGTTCTGTGGCTACTGCATCACACACCCCTCAGAAAGCAAGATCAACTTCAGGATCCAGACCAGAGGTGAGGCTGGGGCTGTCCCTCCGTGTCTGGGGCCCTGTTCTCATGGAATTCCCCCTGCTCATGGCAGCTTCCCACCAGGAGTCTGCTAAATAAAGAACAGCCTCTGCCCTCTGCCAGGTTCTGCAGTGCTGAACCTCACAGGCTGCTCCCAAAATTCTGCTCCTGCTGCAGTGGGAAGCACATCCCTGGCTCCAGGCACCTGGGCTGCCCTGGCACCCTGAGCTGTGGGGCTGGGGAGGTGAGGGCTGCCCTTGGGAAGCACCTCTTGTGTCCCTAATCCATCTTTTCCCATCCTTTCCCAAAGGAGCCCTTCCTGCTGTGGAGCCATTCAGGAAAGGGCTGAATGACCTGATGGGTGTTTGCCAACACGTGCTCAACACCTTTGAGGTGAGACATTCCTGGGGAGCTCAGGGTCATTTCTGTCCCTTTGGGCCATTCCTGGGGAGCTCAGGATCATTTCTGTCCCTTGGGCCATTCCTGGAGAGTTCTGTCCCTTGATCCCAGAGGGAGAAGCTGAGCCTGGTGTTGGGGACACCTTTGGCAGGAAAACCTGGGAGATTTTTTTGGCTCTTCCTGAGCTTCCCAGCTCCAGGCAGAGAGGCCCAGCACAGCAGGGAGGTGGCTCTGTGCTGCCCCAGGGACAACGTTGGTGACATTTGTGTTTGTTTCAGAGGAGCATGAAGGAGTTCAGGGCACAGAAGGAGGAGGAGATGCAGTAGCCTTTGGGAATGGCATGGATGCCCATGGATGTGTAACCTCTGTGTTGTATTCCTTGTGTCCAAACAAGTGTTTTTTTGTTGTTGTTTTTTTTTATGACTTTGTTGCAAAATGTATTTTCTTGAATAATAAAGTTTATTAATTTAGATGCTGCAGAGCTGATGCTGTGTCCTGCTCAGCACAGGGTTGGAGGGACACAGATTGCTCCACAGATTGGGAAATTTATGGAAAATGGGCTGGTCTTGATCTTCCTCAGTCTCTGTTTTCCTTGAAACCCATTTGTCTTCATGATTTATTTGTAAAACTTTTACATTTCAGTGAAAGTTAAGCTAAAAAAATCCACCCCAACACCTGGAGAATATTTTAATTGCAGGTCTCATCTCCCCTTTTCCTCTCTCCATTTTTTCCATGACGAGGTAGAAAGGGGAAAGAAGGAAAAGAGAGAGAGGGAAAAGAGAGATGTGGGAAAACCAACAAAAAGTCATCAAAAACCTGGTAAATACAACTTTTCCATGGAGCTCTCCTGCCAGTTTTGGCAGGAATGTTAGGATGGAATCACATGGATTCAGAGTCACATGGAATCACATGGATTGCCATCCCAGACTGGTTTGGGTTGGGAGGGACCTTCACTCCCCCTCCTGCCATGGGCAGGGACTCCTTCCACTATCCCAGGGTGCTCCTGTCCAACCTGGCCTTGAAAAATGCTGGGAAATCACCTGGGGGATGAATGATTGCCAATAATCAATCAGAGAGATGCCTTTTCCATATTTTAGTTGGTTCTACTGGCTCTTCCAACTGAGGCTGGACCTTCCCCACTGCCTTTCCCACCTCCACACGACCACAAGGACATCTCTGTCCCCCACAGGGATTTCTCCAAGCTTGGCTTGGCTTTCCCAGCTGGGAATTGTGTCTGTCTCCCTCTGCTCCTCACCCCACATCCATCCCAGAGTGAGCACCCCAACCTTCCTTCCCTTCCCACACGCTTCCCACGTTCCACCACCCCCAGGCAAATGGTCACAAATCCCTTGGTTTTCCTGCCAGGAAATGAAGAATCCTGTGAGGATGTGAATCCCCTTCCCTCTCTCCTGCAGAGGTGACCTGGGGTCAGGGGCTGGGTTTGGGGCTGGTCCCTGGGCAATGCTCCAGCTCCTTCCAGCTGGGTTGGACACGAGGGCAAAGCTGATTCAGGCCCAGCCAGGAAGAGCCTGGGAGAGGATTGGAGGGGTCCCTGCTGTCCTTGGGCCTCGTCCTGGGCAGGCTCAGGCCCTTAGGATGAGCTGTACTTGTTGCTCAGGCGGGAGCTGCTCCTGTCCAGCCCCAGCTCCTGCCCCGTGGCTTTCCACTTCCCAACAGATCCCTTCTCATCCGTGGGGGTGATGCTCAGGGCCGGCCTCTGGCACCAGCAGCACAGGCAGGACTGGGGGGGACACAAAAGGGGAGAGGTCACACGTGTGGGATGTGGGAAAAGGAGGAAATATTCCCATATTTGTGCCAGGCTGGGAATTGCTGAGCTTTGCTGTGCTGCAGCTCTGCTGGGAGAGGGTTTTCCAGGATAGGGCTGGGGAGGGTGGGAAATGAGGATCCTGAAATCTGAAATTTGGGGCATTTTTTGTAATTGTGTGTTGTCGTCATTAGGGGGCAGGAAATGCTTAGCTGGGCTCAACTCCCATCCCATTATCCCATCCCATTATCCCATTCCATTATCCCATCCCATCCCATTATCCCATCCCATTATCCCATCCCATTATCCCATCCCAATCTCCTTCCCTTCCTTCTTCAGGGCTTCACTACTCCTGAAAATTATCTCCCAAATCTTGGGTTCAAAGTTTGGAGCAGCCCCAGCCCCTGGTCTGATGGTTTGTGGGGATGTTCCTATCCCAGGGTGACAGGGAATTTTTGGCTTGTCCTAAATCCTGCTCTGGCAAAAGCTCTGGCATAATAACGATTTGGATAATTATGGATGATAATAATTGGGGGTAATTTGGGATGAGGAATAAGATCAGCTCATTCCTACCTGGAAGCAGTTCTTGAATTTCCGGCTGACAAAGTACAGAGCCACGGGGTTGATGCAGGAGTTGAGGGAGGCCATGTTGATCCCAAAATAATCCATCACCAGCAGGAAACTGAGGTGGGAAGGGAGAGAACAGATGTGTCAGATGTGGGAATTTCCAAACTGCCTGGCCTGGGATCCCGCTTCCATGGAGGAGCAGTGAGTGATAACAGAGCTGAGCACAAATCCATCCTCCCCTAAGAGTCACTTTTCCCTGCAAGGAGCATTCCCTGAGGAGCCAAGGACACGAGCTCTGGTTTCTCCTGGTGCTCCTGACATTCCCAAACCCCAGCTCAGCAGCAGCCCCTGGCCTGGGCTGCATTTTAACTTGGACTTTTTGACTTTTTTGACTTTTGGATTTTGATGGGTAGAAGGGGAGGGAGGCAGAACGTGAAGAACCCTCAGCCCTGCTGGGAATATTCCTGCACCCAGGACACCTCATCTTCCCAGAGACATCCCCAAATTCAATTTAACCCTTCCCATGCCCTCCCTGTGCCCATCAGGAGGGCGGTGCCACCGCACCAGGAATTACTGAAAGCAGGAGGGGAAAGGCAACTCCCCCAGCCTGCTGCAAGCCCAGCAGGGCCAGCACTGGTCCCGGTGGGGCTCCTGGGCTGGTGTCACCTGCTGGGGGGCCCTACCTGAGCAGCTCACAGCGGTTGGGGTCGGTCTGGTCGTAGATGGTTTTCTTGAGGATGCGGCTGAGGTGCAGGGGCAGCCAGCAGAGAGCGAAGATCACCACCAGGCAGAACACGGTCTTGGCCACCTCCCTGCGCTGCCACACAGGGCCAGGGGCAGGGTGAGCACTGGGGAGCAGCTCCCAGGCCGTGCAATCGTGGAATGGTTTGGGTTGGAAGGGGATTTAGGTGGGCAGGGATATGTTCCACCAGCTCCTGGAAGCTGCAGAAGGTGCAGGGCAGCAGCAGCTCCAGGTGGGGCACACCTGTCCCCACCCTCTCCTGGGGGCTTTGGTGGGATGGTGATCCCTGGGACAACCCCTCCATCCCCAGGCCCCTCCCCAGAGCTCCTGGGGCTCTTCTGTCTCTGTCTCTGTCCCAGCTATTCCCTGGACACCTCCTCCATCCACCCCTCTCACTTTTAGTCACAAATTTTGGTCACAACCATCTGGAGCTCCTCAGGGAACTGTTCCCAAAGTGTGGGAGGGGACAGGGAACCCTTCCCTGCACCCTTTGTCTGGGATTTGGCACACCCAGAGTGGTGTGGGCTGGGATAAATGACCAGGAGAGCTTTAATGAGGCCGGGATGTGGCCACAAGGCTTTGGGGTCATCCCCAAGGCTGGAGATTTTGGAGGTTTTGGAGGTTTAGGCTCTTTTCCCTGCACCAGCGTGCCAAGATCCACTGTGAGGCTTTGCCAGCTCACCCTGCCCTGCACAGGGACAGGGTGTCCCCCTCCAGCTGCACCCCCCCCTTTTGGGAAGCCCAAAATCCCTCCCTGGGTCCCTCACCCGTTTCATGTGGTCGTTGAGGGCGATCCTCATCCCGTTCCTCTTGCTCAGCATCTCGCAGGACATGAGGGTGTAGAAGATGCCCGTGCACACCAAGGGCAGGCAGAAATAGAACCCAAAAAGCCACCAGTCCTTCACATCCCGATAGAACTGCGGGGAAAAGGGACAGAGAGAGGCTGGGAACGGGGACAGGCAGGAGGGACAACTGGGGGTGACCACGGACCCTGCTGGAGGGGGGTGGGGTTGGGATTGGGATTAGGGTTGGTACCCTCATGAAGCAGGATTGGGGTTGGGGTCGGGTTTGGGGTTGGGATTGTGTTTGGGGTCGGGGTGGGGGTGATACCATCATGAAGCAGGATTGGGTTTGGGATTGGG